GACAACTACAACCTTGTCTGTGTTAGACAGAAACACGACCACCAGCGTGTCAAAATGAAAATAATTCTCCAAAAGCACGGCCACCACCACGCTTACTTCAAGTACACGGCCCGCCTACCACATTTCAGGGATTTCTAGTGCATTTTCGATGCAGCGCAGTGCGTGCTAATGACAACCAGTCGGGAGGCCTGCGCTATGCTAAGTGAAACAGTAATGGGTAAATGTGCAAGATGCTCGAGCAGGCGAGTTGTTAGTAGAGATTTATCTCACTTCCGAAACGAAGCACCACACTAAAATAAGGTACCCATAGGATCATGTCAATTATCACAACAATTTGTTCAACATTTTGTACATTCACTGAAGTCGTACTCTTGCTTGGAAGGTAATGCATGCGACATCTGTCTTGGTAGTGTCGTCATGAAGGATCATCTGGAAGCTGATAGGGAGCGTCATCCTTCAGTAAAGAAATGATGGCGCTGTACGGCGAAAAGTCTAGAAGCATGTCCATCTTCTGTCGTCCAGTCTTTATCGGACAAGGGATGCCATTGGTGCAGGCGTCCAGATTCTTCCTGTAAATTTTTTTCCGTGATTCTGACAGCGTAACCTCCAGCTCTTATCCTCCCAGTTCCCAGAACACTAGAACGAAACGTGTCGAAAAAAACTGACAGCATTCCAAAGGTAGGAATGGAGCTCCAGTTGCACGTTGTCGTCCAACTCCAGAGGTTTATCGTCTGCTTCAAATTTGGTGATCCATAGGTCGTCTTTGGGTTGTTGATGTCAGACTTCAGGACCAGAGGTTTACTCAAATGAACGGGGTACTCGTAGTTGCCTAAATTAAAATTTTTTGAACTTTTATCTCATCGGAGCTGATAATGTGCTAGTAGATCGCAAGTGGCTATGGACTGCTGAAGGCACATAACCTCGTCATCCGGGCAGTTGATTAGGGCGGTCGTCAACGGGCCGCAGCGCGTGCCAGGAACTATTTGCTTTTTCCAGGCTAATTTAGTCATTTTTTCCACCTTGTGAAGATAAGGAGCTGCTAATCTGGGAAAAAGTAGCCAAAACAGTGAAAAGTTGGAAAAAATGACTAAATTAGCCTGGAAAAAGCAAATAGTTCCTGGCACGCGCTGCGGCCCGTTGACGACCGCCCTAATCAACTGCCCGGATGACGAGGTTAGTGTTGCTCGCCAGAGATGCTAAGGCTTATAAAGGGTTGTGTTTGGCTCCGCGCTAGCACGTTTTCCACCAGCTGTTGTCGCCTGCCAGTTTCCACAACTGGTGGTGAGCAGTTTGGCGCTGCGCCAAACCCGCCCTTCCCTCGACGGAAATGCTGTTGCGTCTCGTTTACGAAACAAAGACTGTGAGTGGTTATTGACTGCTGAAGACACGTACTAGGGCGCAAATAATGATGGGAAGCATGTTCTCTAGAGTTTCTCTCGATGCCTCTCACCCAGTTGCCTTCACCAGAGGTATTACGGCCCAGCTCTACCTGGCTCTAGATAGAAACGATACCAGTCTTGCCAGGCTAAGGCTGAATACACCATTCCACGGCAATTCGCCGAACTGTAGGAAAGTACAAAAAAGCCTTACGGTCATTCCCAATGTGAACACATCCAAACAAGCGAAATGCGATCCGTTAACCCCAAGGGGGACTACAGCGATGACGCGCGGCATCTGCGACAGTCAAGTAGCCTACTCTCCAGTACAGTGGGGTTGGGCACTCATCAGGTTCGAAAAAATTGTGAAAAGCAAAAAGCCCTTTAAGAAGGAAGCACTTGCTCTAGATTAAACTCCTTACCACTTTCATCGAAAGGGGTTGCATTCCGTAGAAAGTTGATGGGCCGCCTGTACACTGAACCATGCAATGCTTGGTGTCTGTTGCATTTAGGCCAGGCTGTACTTGCACCAGAGAGCTGACGCTGCTGAAACGGCAACGAAAACGGCTCTGTCCTGACAATCATTCTAAATATCTCACTATAGCGTTTAGGTTATGAGCATCTTCATGAATTACGAAAAAAAAAATAAGGCATGCCATTGGTGCACAGGAACTGCGAAAGTTGGAGCTCTATTGCTGCTGGTCACACAACGGCTCGAGCAAGGAAATGGATAAAAGTCTGAGAATATATGAAGAATTCAAGCTGTCCGGTGATGTCTCGGTAGCTTTTCGCCCTATGATCAAGATAGCAACTCCTTTATAGTGGAGTAAGCTGAATCTAGAGCACTTTGACCGTGTTATCAGTACGCCTTTCCGCACAAAGTTCTTCAATTTCGAGGTGACCCTTAGTCGGGACGTGGAGGAACAATGAAGTGTATGCATGAGTGAGCACTGATTGCCTGCACATAAACGTTTGCTCTATTAAAAAAATAAAAACTGCAAAAAAAATATTGCAACTTATGGCAACACCCACCAGAAGAAACAGTAATAAGAATGTATAGAACTGGCCGTGGATTTCGGGCCTTTGTTTTTTACACCCCCCCCCCCCCCCCCCCCCCCCCCCCCCCCCCCCCCCCCCCCCCCCCCCCCCCCCCCCCCCCCCCCCCCCCCCCCCCCCCCCCCCCCCCCCCCCCCCCATCAAAGCAGCCGTACAAACTATTGTCAGGCGATAACTCCACAAGTGCGCTTCAGTGCGTCAGCGACTGTGAGCTAGACTCTAGTAGCTGATTTTTATTTCTCGAAACATGTTGCAGTGGGTGCTTCTAGCCAAGCTTTCCTAAATATTCGCGCCTTAAAGGCAGTTGGCACGATAAATCCCGCAAGACGACTAGTATCAATACTTCTGGCAGAATAGAATTCCGCGACCTTGCCGGCAGGCGCGCCAGTTTCTTTCAAGGAAGGTGCCCCTTATAAGGGCCCTATCAAGCCACAACTTTACGTCCCAAACGCCCGCCACGCCCGCCCGCCCACAAATGGACGACCGTTCCTGACGCTCGTATTCATTCATTTGCTAAGCAAATTATGAAGCGAAGGGATTGGTATGAAGCGGCCGTGATGCTGCATGCATACATGGTACACATATGCAGCCGTATCTTCGGTAACGGTGATTGGTTTAAGATGCCTACGCGGAATACTCGTCCGAGTCTGAATTTTTCAAGTCACTGAGAACGGAAGCTTTCTTCTTCGCGAAGGTTTGACCGTTTCACTCCGTTCTTTCGCCACTTCCCCACTACACAGCGCCCTACTAGCATTTTAGGCTAAGTAGGAAACCATCGTGTCCAACTGCCTTCAAGACAAAACCTCGATCGCAGATGTGATAACGCGGTCGGATGCATGAAGTTCTTCGAGCCTGATTAGATTGCAACAGAACGGCAAAGCAGGCGAAGACCAGTACACAGTCGAAACAAGAGACGCAGAGAGGCTCCTCGCCGCAGCCAAAACGAACAACCCCTGCGCGTCTGCTCACTCCTGCAAGGTTGCGAAATCTAATTGCCAATTAACTGCCTAGTAGTCCTAAGCTTCCAGAGAGAGTACGCTTGATAACTTAAAACTTTTCCTGTAGTAAGGCGGCTAAACTACCACGCGGCCCGAAGTATGAAGGGCAGCATCTACCTAAAGCTTCGAAAGTCGAAATAGCATGATGCGAGCCGAAGAGGGGGCCTCTTCGAATGGGGAGGGGACCATGAATGTGCCGATCTTTTATCACGCATGAAAAGTTGAATGTGTGAGGTCACCATGGTCAAAGAGCGCTATGTAGACGACCAAAGCGACAGAAAAGTAACACGAATGGAACTGAACTCATATTCTGCAATGAGGCTGACCGTTTCATTTCGTTTCCTGGTCATCTGTACTTGGAATGAGGCTAGTTAGTATGTTAAGTCATACTCTGACTGTTAAGTCGAAATTAGTTAGCTGTATCAACTCAATTGTAGGTAACCAACGCTGATAATTCAGGTACCTGGAACTGGAAATGCATTTTTTCCGTGCAAGACACTCGGGAAATTTCTAGCCGAGAAGGGGACTTGTGCGATTTATATCCAAAAAATAAAGCATTTGTCTGTCAACAACAGCAGCAACGTGATATGAGAATCAATCTTTTTTTGTGCTTACTGATGAGAAGGTCGAAGCAACTACGTTTTCCCGAGCGTGGCGCAGGTTTTGATCAGCTCATAGATCATTAGAACAGCTCATAGATCATCTCTTGATAATGCCGTCTCCGAGTCGCTGATATCGGTAACTTGCCAATAAACGGAGCGGCTGTTGCCACTGATGTAGTTCAGCATTCGAGCTTCTGAAAGGCATGCCCTAGAGCATCTCAAGCCGGTATTTCTAGATAGGGCAGGTTTTCTACACAACGGTCAATACCTACGAATGAACCAGCTCGAATCCTTCAAAGGAGGAGACCGGCACTATTGAACTATTCCTACCCCAAAAAACTCAAAAAAATTTCGCTGAAACGTTGCCTATAGGTGTAATTCGATGCCCTGATCACGAATATCACATTTGTTTCAAGCGCTGGCGTCATTTGGCGCCATTATGCGCCAATTTGGCGCATACCACTTTTTTTGCCGAAGTCGATGAAAACTTGCACATGGGGGTTAATTGAGGTCCTGATTACAAATTTGACATTCATTTTTGGCGCTGGCGCCATTTGGCGCCATTACGCGCCAATTTGGCGCCATATTGGCGCATAATGGCGCTAAATGGCGCCGGTGTCGAAATGGATGCGATATTCGTGATAAGCGCATCGAAATACATCTGTTGACAATGTTTCAGCGAAAACTTTTTTCTGAGTTTTTTGGGGTAGGAATAGTTTCATAGTGCAAATATAGTCAAACGTATCAGCTTAACTGTACTGAATAGTGCCCGCCAAGAGATGTCCGCTCTTCTATCACGTGCATTGTTCTGTATTTCTTGTTCACGGAGCTATGTGAAGGCCAAACAACTTTCCAGCTCAATAATTTCAAAACTATACCTCAATTTTTGGAGTTGCTTCTTTAGGCGAACGATATTTATGCTCAAGTTCCATGAAAGGTTGAGCCTAGAACTGTATTAACGTTCTCCTTTGTCTCCACCCGTGAGATGTAATCGAGCAGCAGAGATTATTGATACGTTTGCGACGACGGCCGTTTCGCCAAAAACTTCTTTTTGCCACTCGGCGCGCTGGCGACGGGAGGCAAACGCCAGAGCTTCTTCTTTGTTGTTTTCGTCAGAACCTCTAGTATTTCGTATTTTTTACATTTCTGTTGCATTTTTTCCCCTGAAACAAGTTTTCATGCAATTCCTGATAGACAATGTATGCTTTCAGCCATTTTTGAGGTTGGGAATAGGACGGATTTTTACTAGAAATTATGCACAAAAAATAATGCAAGTAACACAAATAATACCGAACCATGTTTTGCGTGTAATTGTGTTTCTGTGATTTTTCTCCCATTTTACTGCATTTTTTACCTCTTCTCACTTTTGAGGGAAGTTAATTTTGATTAGGGATCTCAATTTGTGGTGAACTCGTCATCCAAATCAACTTCCTCATCAAAACTTACTTCTTTGAAAAGAAACGCAAAATGTTCGTAGTATTACTCGTTTGTTATTTATATTATTATTATTCGTATATGAAATCTAGTGTCGTGACGACTCACGAGCACCCTTTGGTCGACACTGCCGCTCGTGCAAAACAAACCGCTCTCATGCCAACGAGCATCAATCGAATCTTTCTATGTCAACGTAAACAGCCATCCCGCCATCCCGCGCGAGGGCGCCATGAAAACAGCCTCCCCTGGGCACGGGGCCTCCGAGGGCCCTAGGCCATGCAGTCTTGTCCATGCACCGCCAAGGGTCGTTGTAACCTGAAACGGCCATTCACCTCGATGTTAGAGCTCATTCACGTCTTCTCCTTGCCAGTTATGCACCGCACGTATACATACGAGACTTATCCTTCTATTGTCGCGGATGCGACGGTCGCCGTTGGGCGCACCTCGCGCCCCGGCCCATCCGCGCTCGGTTCCCATGGCGTGCGCTTCACGTGCGCCGTGGTTCCGCCCCTGCGGTCGTAGTCAGCATAGTACGTTTTCACGGCTGGCAGCCGGTGCCGGTCGGTTTTCACCGGGTAACGCGCGGTGACAGCGCCGAAGGTGGAGGGGTGAAGTCCACTCCGAAGCTGGAGGCAGCTCGAGCGCCAGCCATGAGCCGGCCGATGTCCATCAGCTGCTCGATGTCCTGGTCGGGGCTGGAGCCTCTACTCCAGCCCCGATCAGGACATCGACGACCGCATGGAGCGATGAGGAGTACCGCCGGCAGGATGGGGGCATAATGCGTAAGAAGGGGTTGAAACCGAGCAGGCCTATTGCGTGGCCTATTGCGATCATTTAAAGACAGCCCCCGCGCTCAAGTAGGATCATTTAAAGACAGCCCCCGCGCTCAAGTAGTACATGGTCGTCCTTCCTTGTGCAGGTAGTTCAGCCCCCAAGCTAGATACTGCCCCACTCTCGCGACTCCACAGTGAGCGAGGAGCGAGCTACAGCCGCTCAAAGTTCTAGTTCTAACGCCCGCTCAGTTGGACCGCCCTACTTGCTAGCTGCCCTCTGACGGAGAGCCGCTCAGTTGTTCTTTGTTGGGACGGCGGGCATTAATCGGAACTGCATGTACTTTTTGCTGACCGCGCTCGTGCCCATAAATAATCTCCTTCATCACATTTTATTCATTGGGAGCACATACAGTCAACTGCAACCCATCTCGTAAGGTAAAACGCGTAAAAATCACGAATGATGCAATTTCTGTGGTGCAAAAGCTCGACATGCACCAAAAGCTGCACATTCACGTAAACCCCAAATTCAATAGACGCCGGATTTTTGAATTTCTTCTTTTTTCAAGTGTTATTCGTTCGTGTCTTTGTTATTTTTCATATTCTTTTCTTTCTTTTTTCTTTTCATATTTCTTTTCTTTTGAATTTATGTTGTCCACTACTGGGAAATACCATAGAGCGATTTGTGAGCCAGGGGTTGCCCAGGGACCGTAGGGCGGTGTAACTGTAAGAGCAATTTTATTTGTGAGGGCTCTTGTTGCTTTTTTCCTTCATTGAGGAATTACTTATCAGCTACTGTTTCATAACTGATCAGCAATTATCCTTAGAACAGGGCACAGCATTCGATGGGGATTTTGGTCGAGCTCGTACGACCCCCCCCCCTTTTTGGGGGGTTCGGTACGACCCCCCCTTTTTTTTTTTGGTTTTTTTTCACACAAAAACAACTGACAAGTACCCAGAGCTAGCCGTTCATAACTTTTTCCTAGTTTTAGTGAGCGTTCAGGAATAGCTTCGAGTTGTTATTTATTGTTCCCTACGTGAATCTGAAAAAAATCGAGAGGAAATAAACACAACTCAAAGCTATTTTGAACGCTCACTAAAACTAGGAAAACTTATGAGCGCAAAGGAAGGGAAAAGGAGAAAAAAAACAAACAGGAACAATAAACATGAACGATAAATAAATGGTAATGGTACGATAATAATAAAATAATCGATAAATTTGTTAAAACAAATGGAAATCCAGTTGTTGTGCGCAGGACCCCAGTGCACTTGATTTGAGGGGCAGAATTTCCGCAGAAATCGTACGGTAGCAGAGTTGGGTATGAATTGCAGCTTTGACTGGAGCAAACGGCTATTAGCCATGGAGCGAGAATTTTCAGCAAAGTAGGGTGTCTTTGAAGGACCATAACTTCCTCAAAAGCGGACCTGTGGGGAAGAGGAGAGCGTATTGGTAAATTAGAAGGTTTGATCTTCCTGAAAGTACTAAAATGTTCATGAAGGTCGCGAAAATCACAGAGAAATCTGCCATAGGGATTCGTTGGGGAGTGAAGGGTTGAAGTTCGAGTTGAACAGGTTTGAATCAATATATTTTTTTTGTAACTCAACATTTCACAAATCTGAGAACGGATCCGAGCTTCTCAAGATTTTCTCTTTCTAAAAACCTATTGAACTGTTCCTGAAGCTCTCGGGATTCATGAGATCTCGCGATGGGGATTTCTTAGGGAGCACTCCCAGCCGCGCGAAAAACCCGTTTCCTGTGTACCGTTTCAAGTGAGCGTGTTCGAATAGCCAGGAACGCATGTAGAACGTATCCTGTGGTGGAGCAGGAGCAGGATATGGTTCGTTTAGCGCCGATCACGCTGACTTTGGATGCGCCGCGCACTGAGGTCCGCGCAGAGGTGATGGGATGGTGCAACTTGTGCGTAATGTCTGTCACGCGAGCAAATGTGTCTATAGGATTCAGGGAGGTCCATGGCGAACCTGTGCACTTGTTTACAGTGTTTTCCCTTGTGGATGATGGAGCGTGTCTGTGTCGACGCCGCCCGATCTGTGCTCCTCCAATTGCTGTCTCCGATAAAGGAGACCAACTGCTGGAAAACGTCTGATACGAACGATATGGTAGTCGCGTCGCTTGTCGAAAAAAATAGGCTGGATCAGCCCCAAGCGCAATCGCGGACACGCCCCATCATCTGCAGCAAATCAGAGTATGCGTTTACTGTTTAGTCATCAACGGACTTACGAGATGATGTCGACTCATTTAAATTCCAGTTATTTCGTATTTTTATAGCTGAAAGTTTTGTCCTTTTTTTCAAATATCCGAGTTCTCTACAAAGTAAGCTTCGCTGTACCGGACTCAGCACATTGACACCTTTGCGCTGCTCGATACTGGCTACGCACTCATTACGACCCCCCCTCTCCTGGCGGCCAAATACGACCCCCCCATGGGGATTCCCCAACCAATGCTGTGCCCTGCCTTAAAGGAACGGTCCGCGATGAGGTATCGAAGTTAAAATATGGCGTCAGGAGGTTAGTGCGGTCCGCGACGAACACCCTGGTACCGGTTTCGCGCAAAAAAGTGCAGGAGAGGGGCGCTATAAGGCAAATAGGTCCAGTGGTTCCTCCTTTTTTCCAGTGACTCCGCCTCCCAAGCGCCGCCCTTCAGTGAAAAACCAAGTTGTGGACGAGAAAAGCATGAAAATGTAAGCGCTTTCGTCATTTGCACGGACGTAGGATTGTATTGGATCAGCTGAGCGCGCGAAGGGGTAAAACGAAATCAATCGTGCTCTTTGTTTCCCTTTATCATGTTTTGTAAACTACTGTTACTTTTTAAATTTTTATGTGTCGTAAAAACGGCTTCACGCGTTTACTGATTGTGATTTTCATGCGGTGTTACTTGTTTTTCAGATATGTGATGTTTCAGTGAGGTCCGTCCATGAAAGTGGTCGCTTTTTTCCATGTTGTTTTTTTGAATTCTATTCCCTACCTTGCAACTGTCTCTCCATCGCTGCTTTGACGTTGTCTACGTTGACGTTGTCAAAAACTGTCTACGCTGTGTATATGATTACCTTCCAAGGAGCATGATTATGCGACTCCATGTGAACCGAAAGATACCAACAAAATTGTATTTCCCGAAGCCTTCCGAGTGCCTCCTGACTGGCTGAGCGTGAGTTCATCACAATTCCCTTTTGGACTATTCATTTTTGCGCCAGTGGGTGAAGTTTCTCGGGATTTTCCTTCACGTTCCCTGCATCGTTTTGGTCGTCAAGAAGACTCACTGGTGGTAAGTCCTATCGCTAAGAGGAATCGCTGGAATATGACTTTCCACTTTCCTGCTCTGATGACGCCCCCCCCATCCCTACCAATCCCACCTTACTGACGTCTTTTTAACCTCTCTACCACTTTTTCAAAAAAAGAATCAGTTTTGCTCAAATATTTAAAATTGTATTCTCACTGAGCCCTTCCGAGATTATCACATATTTTTCAGGATAGCTTCTGTTTTCATGTGCGTTCACCCCTCCTCCATTGCAAGTAGTTTCATTTCGTGTGGGAGGTCTCGCGATGATGCGTTTTTGCAGGAAGGTTGGATGACACGTCATAGTTTTCCGCTTTTGGTGTGTTCTTCATATTACTTGGTATTTTGATGTTTCTTGATGCAGCACTGCTAGCTATTAGAAATGTGAGGTTTTTCATTTCCTTTTGTTCCACCTTTTCTTCTCATTTTGAATGTTAGCTGCTAGCACGAAAGTGCTAGCCCTATTCTGGCAGAGGCACTTTGGTGCAGTTGTAGAAGGTCGAGTAACGTGGGGAGGTTTCAGAAGAGCTGATTTTTACCACATTCTTCAGGTGTTAGCTACTCCGTTGAAGAAAAGAAACTCCGGCTCGAATTCTAAGTCTAGGAATCCTAGCGGAGAAAAAGCTGATCAGAACCTGGATTGTCTGTCTGCAGGCGAGGTACGTCTTGAGTTTAGAGTTGGAGAAAGTGTCCACTGGCTTAGCGTGCCAAACTTGGCTAGGACGGTAAGCTAGTTGGGAGATCGACGAGCGTGTCTGTGTACTTTGTGCTCCATTGAGGCTGAGTTTGCGCGAAAGCTAATCAGTCCGTTCCTGAGATGGTGCAGACCAGAAAAAGTGGTAAGGTCTTTCCGTGCCTCCAGCCCCTCGTGCTGCAATTAAAGTGCATTAGCGATATACGTCCATAGAGAGGAGTCAGCGATTATTTCGCATGTTCCTGCCCACAGTCTTGTTCTCTACGAATGTTGAGGCCTGTCAGAGCGGCTGGGTTTGGCAGGACGCCAACCCCTTCTCTACCAGTGAAGAGCCGGAAACAGTTGGTGAGAAGCTGACTGGCGCTGCGCCAGACCCACTTCCCTCACATTCGGAATACACAGATTACTAACATTACATAGGAAGAAATCATAACTCGTTTTATTAAAGATACATCAAGGCATCTGTGCACATTTTATTGGAGTTAGGGGGGAGCTGGTGTGAAGGGCATGGAAAGGTGAGAGTCAACAATCCCTTGTTATGGTCACTAATTGCAGTGCACACTAACGCCCAACGCAGTCTCGCACTTTCGCGCTATTTTGATTTGCATTTTCTAGATTGATCTTTTCGTGGGAAACTTCACGAATACAAACTATTTTGCTCAAAAATGTGTTGGTTTCGCATTGATTTCATAGACTTACAACCTCTATCAGGATTTCGCGGTTTCCGTTGGTTCTCTTATTAACGTCGAAAATGAAATAGCTCATAATGCTCAATCTTTTAGTTTTCAAATTCATCGAGCTGGCTCCAAAACATAAGATGCGTATCGATTTTGCTGGCGAAAGGTCGAGCTAGCGTCTCGCGAAGGCGAAAAACGCCGCGGTTTGGCGAAACGCCCGTCGATACGTATCAAAACTTTCGCCCAACCGCCAGACTCTTCGCCCAACCGCCAATCGATACGTATCGAAAGCTTTTCGCCGGACCGCTTCTTTCCAGAGAAACGCTCGGCCGCATACTGTGAACAATGCATTAGGGGGAGCATTTTGCACGTCGACTAGTTTCTTTTGTTAGTTCTTAGTGAATTACCCATCTCGTTTTGGTGAAACCTGTGACTTTGTCATGTATAAACGAAGCTCATGCTGTTGCATAGCTTTACAGAAATTTATTTATTTACTTCCCTTGCATGTGATCGCCTTTTTTTAGGTATGGGTCACCTCGGAAGTTCGAACGGATTTCAATCGTGAGATGTGGTGGGTGGCGACTGAAGTATGTTCCGAACGACACATTCAGAAGCGCGAAGTAACTTATCAAGAAGTTTATCAAGATAGCCAGGTAGGTCGAAAAATATCTTCGGTTAAGAACTCGATCCTGATGTATTGTCCACTCAGACATTGTCGAGAGCTGCGTTATTTCAATTTTGCTGTTATGAGTGGTTTGGACAAGCCGGCTCTGCGAAGGCTGCACTCAACTTGGGAGAGAGTTTCTGGGTAAGAGTAGATTCACCGCTGCACATCAACAATGAGTGAATCTAATGCTTTGGAAGTACATTCGTATGCTTGAAGACGTTCAACAGCTTGTTGATCCGTTACGAAACATGTCCAGATATCGCCAGCACCTTGCTGAAGTGTCACAAGAACCACAAATCGTTCTTTGTATTGTAGTTCTTTGTATTGTAACAACATCTGTTCCAAAAGTTATTGCCGTTATTTGGGTCGTGCCAATATATCCAGTAATCAGGAAAGATTTGACGTTTTCACATGAAGGGAATGAAGGAAACTTTCACATGAATATCCAGCATGGCTGCAAGGGTTAGTAATTCCTTTCAAGACATTCCCAAGGTTCTACTGCTTTGCTGACTCTCTGTCTTTTCAGAGTGGAAACCTAATAAGCGACGCCTTGCTCCACATGAATA